TTTTTTGATATTCGTTAATCTCATTGAAGTTTCCGGTCATTAACTATAAAATTTTCCTATTAAACTCTTATTTGTGTTAATTTTTCTCATATACTTTTGCAAAACTTAACAATTGACAAGATCTTCATACACTGATAATCATACCAATATTTATTTTAAAACAATAAGACAGATTAATTAATATGTATGTATGTGAAAAAGGAGATATATTGAATTACATATTTGCATGTGCACTGACGCCATTTAAAAACGTAGCAAATTTGTATGTATGTGACAAAATAAGAAAATAATGAAACAAATGATCTATTTTAATTTGACTTATATGAACGCCATTTGAAAACGTAACGTAAGCAACATGATGGCAAAAGAAACAACACAACATTTAATAAACTTCAACTTATATGTACGTCATTTATGAAATGATTTTAATGATATTGTATTGTTGTGTCTTTGGTCAACTATGTGACATCATTGAACGAGAGTTAATAAAGTTGGGTAAAATTTCTATAAAATTAAAATTTGATAGATTAATAATCCTTAATATATATTATAAAGTAATTAAATAATTCCAAGTATCAAACTTAATAAAATTAGATTAGATAATTAGATAATAATTTTCAAAAAGTCCTTATATAAAATATATGATTCCATTATTATCCATAACTAATAATCATATAACTTATATATATATAAAAAAGATAAAACACAAATGTATAGTTAATGATTTTTCAGAAAATAACTTTTCGTTTGAGATGGTCTCTAATTTTTATTGTATTTTAACAGTTGTTGTTTGTGTTTTCAAACTATCATATATTAGTATTGTTTATAACTTTATTATCAAAGTAGTCAAAAACTTTTGTAAGTTTTCAAGTTGTAAATATAGATTTTTTGTTTAATAGTTTTATAAGTTATTAAACGCGACAGTTGAGATCATATGTTTCAATAAATGAATTTATTTATAACCTTTCTTCTTTATCTCCAAGATAGTTTTTTTCTAAATTTGAAACGTTGAAATCAAAATTTACAAAATATTAGCTTTATTTATATCAAATTATCTCAATTTATATTTTTCTAAAATTTCATGTAAAATTTGAAGCGATAAAAATGTTAAAACAATTTTTGATAAATTAATAAACAAACTTAAATTACTACATATTAAATAAATATTATAATACCAATATTATTAATTTATATTGTAGTTCATGACTCTTTTATGCTTAATATGACTCATTTTTTTAGAATGAAGGTAACAAATGCTGAAGTTGATACTTCGGAAAAAATACATAATCAATTTTATACAATGAAACATGCACTAATTCGTTCTTCTTCTACCGCTTCTCCTCCTGCGCCTTCTTCTCCTCCTCCTCCTCCCACCTTTGGAGATTCAGCAGGAACGTGTTCCTCCAATCTTGGCTAAGCTCCCTTGCTGCTCTTGCTTTCTTCTTCTCCCATAAGACCCTCATTTTCTCATCCTGTACAAAGGTAACAAATGCTGCATTGTCTAATTCACTAAAGACATTGAAAATGGGTATTTCTTTTTTTTTTGTTTACTTCTATTCAATCTTGGATAATTCAATTAAGAGACTTTTAGGTCAACATAGTAAGATTGGGTTCATGCGTTAAAATTGGTTGTCTTTGGTTTATCAATGTAAGAGAAAGAAAACGGATTTAAGAGTTGGTAGAAAATATTTAGCACACCATGCCACGAACGCAAGATATAACTATGCCAAGATGCACGAACGCAAGATATAAACAAATGGCTTCTATAACTCTTTATATTTTTAGTACATTTATCTTCTATCTTTATAAATTGTAAGTCAATTTCACAAAATCAAAAGTAATATAAATTAACATACATTAGTCCAAATAATTCGTTTTCGTAAATATATTAGCCTAAATAATTTTGTCCACCAATTCTTATGTTGGTGTTTTTGTACTTGTATTGATAAACTAAAGTAAACAAACATTAACGCATGGATATCAAGGTCGTTTAGCTTAGAGACAAAATTTTATAAATAATGAACTCAAAGACAATTAGTTTTCTATCTAAGTAAAAAAAAAAAAAAACAAATAGATTTGAAGTTGAAAAAAATCACAAAAAACCGGCCTCTACTTTTACCTTGCGTGTGGGATAGGCTCAGTTAATTTCTTGGACGAGAGAAGGAACGGGTTAACGGACATTTAAAGTTTGGCATGTGAAATGATGTACATGAAACGAGAAATAACGAGCTGACATGCATGTAATAACGGCCAAATTAACATTAATTGTTGGTTTCACAAATTGAAGAAATTTTAACACGCTACAAACATATATTGTACTATGTTAATATTTGTACACATGTAAACACATTTATAAAGCGTTAAAAATAATTATAGTGTTAAGTTATTATATCTATGTATACATGTAAATATATATATATATATATATATAAGAAGCGTTATTAACATTTGTATACATATAAACATATACATAGAATGTTATTAACATTTGTATGCATATATAAACACATATATAAAACATTATTGATATTTGTATATATGTAAACACATATATAAAATGTTATTAACATTTGTATATTTGTATACACACTACAAATTAAACATATATTACGACTATTGTATCCTAAACCGTCAAACATAGCACAATTAGACACCGAAATATTATTGGAATAATAAGTTTCATAAGATTTTCAATGGAATTTTACCTGTTTTCGTCGAGTTTTTACCGGATCTTCACCGGATTTTATCGAATTGTCACCGGATCTTCAGCAGATCTTGTCAAAAAAAATTCCGGATCTTAAGTAGATTCATTAATAACGCTCTTTATATATGTGTTTACATGTATATATAAATCCAGTAATTTAACATATATTTGTTTACATGTAAAAATATATTAAAATTGTGTAATATATGTTTATAGTGTGTTGAAATTTCTCCAATTTGTGAAGCAAGCAATTAGTGTTAGTTTTGCTGTTGTTAAATGCATGTCAATTTGTTCTTTCTAGCTGCATGTACGCCATTTCATATGTCGAGTTTTAAATGTCTGTTAACTTGTTCCTTCTCCTGTCTAAGAAGTCAACTAACCTATCCACACGCAAGACAAAAACAGAGGCCGGTTTTTCGTGAATTTTTTCAACTTCAGATATATATGTTTAATTTATTTATTTATTTACTTAAATAGAAAAACAAATTGTTTTTGAATTAATTATTTATCAAATTTTGTCTCTAAGCTAAACGACTCTGATATCTATGCACTAAAATCTAAACGACTCTGATATCTACGCACTAAAATCGGTTGTCTTTGTCTGATATCTATGCACTAAAGTCGGTTGTCTTTGTGTTTACCAATGCAAGTACACACCGACATAAGAATTGGTGGACAAAACTCTTTGGGCTAATATATTTTAAAAGACGAAGTATTTGGGCTAATGTATTTACTCCAATGGGCTAATTAATGAAACCTTAACGAGCTATTTATAAGGCCCATTAAACGATAGGGTAAGCCCAAAGCACTATCTTACGCCCTCTTTATATTCATCGCCACCGAAACTGAAAAAAGGGTTAGTTTCGCTGCGCTGTTTTAAGGGTTTTCGTTTTTCTTTGTTTTTCCTCCGAAGAAGAAGATAAGAGGTTGAAGAAGAAGAAGATGCCAGGACCAGTTATTGAGGAAGTGAATGAGGAGGCTCTTATGGATGCCATTAAAGAGCAGATGAAGCTCCAGGTTCGTTTTCGTTTTCTCTCGTTTTTAAGAGAGACTATGTTTTTCGATTTTGACGATTTTTTTGTGCTGTGGAGCAGAAGGAGAACGATGTTGTTGTTGAGGATGTGAAAGATGGAGATGAAGACGACGATGATGTTGATGACGACGACGATGAGATTGCTGATGGTATGTTACTGTTCTTCTCGCTTTGATTGTTTAGAGATGTTTCTGGAATCATTTTGTGGATTTGTGATTGAATCAATTGCTTTTAGAAACTTGAATATCTTTCTCGTTTGTGAAAGATTCGATTTGTTTGAGTCTGGATTAGGTTTTGCTATGATTGACATTTCAATGGAGTTGCGATTTTAGGGTTTTGATGTTGTTGTTGTTGTTGTTGTTGCTTCTGTTGTGAAGGAGCTGGTGAGAATGAGAGTTCTAAGCAAAGTAGAAGCGAGAAGAAAAGCCGAAAGGCGATGCTGAAACTTGGAATGAAACCTGTTACTGATGTTAGCAGAGTGACTATCAAGAGATCGAAGAATGTAAGTAACAACTTAATTTGATGACAATCCTATAATCGATATTTCATTATTGTATAGTGATGTTTGATTTTGTATGTTATTGTATCATTTAGGTGTTGTTTGTCATCTCGAAGCCGGATGTTTTCAAGAGTCCCAATTCTGAGACGTATGTGATATTTGGTGAGGCTAAGATTGATGACATGAGCTCTCAGCTTCAAGCACAAGCTGCTCAGAAGTTCAAGATGCCAGATGTTGCGTCTATGATCCCCAACACCGATGGTTCTGAAGCAGCCACGGTTGCACAAGAGGAGGAGGACGACGAAGATGTTGATGAGACTGGTGTTGAAGCTAAGGACATTGATCTTGTGATGACTCAAGCTGGTGTCACGAGGACCAAGGCTGTTAAGGCTCTTAAAGCCAGTGACGGAGATATTGTTTCCGCCATTATGGAACTCACTACATAGGTTGAGTTGCATAAACTCCCGGTGGTTCTTTTTTCCGTTGCTTCAGTTCTGATTCAGTTAGCAATTTTCTCGAACATTATCTGTGTCACTCCACTTTTAAGGCTATTTTTTCTCTTCCTCTTGAGCCATAAACAATGTTGATTCACATCTATAATTTGAGACTTTTATGTCTAATGTTGTTAACTCTTTAGTAAGAAAGATTGATTAGTGATCTCTTTACATATTTTCATACAAAATTGTTTTAAGAAACAAAGCTAGGTTTGTGTATAACGTTTCAACAACACAGAATTCAGATTCAAGTCTTTCTCTAGAATTGACATGAGTGTCACTCTTTTATATCTACACACTTGCTAGCAAAACTTCTCTAGATCGTAACACCGCCTCGTAAATTCCGTACACAGACCTTAGTCTCTAAGGCTGTGCTGTGAGATTCAGCCGCTTAAATTTATACTCGCTAACCTGGAAAATCGAAAGCAAACGCTCAAGAGGACCTCATAGAAAAAGTAATCGATCTTTGACATTATTGCTATGAAATAAGAACTGGGATGATTTGATGCACCTTATAACTCCTTACTAATTGCTCAAGATCTTGCTTTTGAAAGAGATGTTTCGTTTTTCGTACTCCATCAAAGACATATCTGCTTTAAAAGACATATCTGCTTTAGCCTTGAGCCATAAACTTTTATAAAAACACACCTGGATTGATTTGCTCTTCTATTTGATGATGATTCCCTATAACCTGCACATTGTCAAACCTATAGTTTGAAAAACGCCACAATATCATGTCTGTAAGTATATAAGTACAATACTACAAACTAAGTATACCTTGCTAAAGCCATTTTCTTTGTTCATCACACCAAATCGAAAATGTGAATCTGGTACCATATCCCCTGAGACCATGGAGTACTTCTCTTTCCTTTTAACATCAACATTGGCAATCGTAATTTTCGCCTTTGGTGGCTGATGGTCTCTAATCGATTGCTATAGAGAACATATGGAATCTTAGAGAAATATGGTGAAAGCGAACATTGTTAAAACAAAACAGTTAGCTGAATGTTTTAAGGGGAGGTAAACAAAACTTTGGAACTGAACAGTAGAGATACACCGCATAATGTTCCTTTTCATATGTGTTTAGGTGTTCCCTGAATTCACTGATGCTTTAAAAATCTAAGAATGCTTCGATGGTCAAGAGAACATACCTTACGCATATTAGGAAACGAATATAAATCACATGAACTGTGTACAGCGCTTGAATGATTCCCAGTATGCTCCTGAACTTTGTTATTGATGTACGAGTTGAGATTCTGCACAGTACAGTTGATGAGATCAAGATATTGCTCATTTGGTGTATCTGAAGTTTCTGAACTGTGTACATGTGTTAGCAACTCTGACAGTTCATGAATCGTCGTAAGGAGTTTCTTAACATCCACTTTTGGAGATGGTGATGATGTGGAACAGCCGTTTCCATCGCCAAAGTCAGATAAAGCTCTCACATCGCTTGAAGATGAGCCAATTGGAGAGATCAACACGGAACCATTTACCATGGCCGGTAAATCATTTGCAGCTTGGTTTTCCTCACAGCCATATACTTTTTGTTTATTATCGGCTAGTGAGAACTGAGGGGCCAGAGGATTTAGTTTCTTCCGACCATGAGACTTGTTGCTGGTCATATCCAGTTTTGTATTCTCAGAAATCTGAACTTGAGACCGAAGCTGAGGGTTGAATGGATATGTTCCGCATTCACGAATATTTTTAGAGTATCGATGTCTTAAACTGCGGTCGGCCTCTGAAGAATGTGTCTCAACCTTATTGTCTGAAGAAGTACTTAAACCAGAAGTTGAGCCAACATTTGTCTCCATAGTTATCATGTGATCTGCTGCACCATGCCTTTCATTAACAACGTCACTTCGTTTTGCACAAGCAGGAACGAAAACAGGGGCTAAAGGATCCAGCTTCGTAGACTTTTGGAACCCGTTGCTAATATCTAACAAGCTCATAGTGTTTGAAAGACTATCTTGAGATACTAAACCCAAACTTTCATCTACATCATGGATAAGGACGCTTCTTCTAGTGTTTTGGTTGGAACCTTGTTCAATGCCAGCTTCAGAAAAACTACAATTTTCTTCAAAGACTCTACCATTCTTGTCTAGGTTCTTCTTACCATTGGACGGTATATATTGAGGTGCCAAAGGATTCAATCCATAGATACAATTTTGATCATCGCTAAAACGCCTGAAGTTCAAAGACTTGACACCTAATGCCGCAGTGTTATGAGACCGTGTTCTTCTCCAACAAGAAGAATCCACCTCAATGTCATCTTGTATCGAAGATTTCTCAGATAGTACACTTCTGTTTGCGCTGCATAGATTCTTCTTGTCAATACCAGAACCGTTGGTACATTCAATCCGCAGCGCTGACACTTTAGAGAAGAGTGGACTGCAATTGCTATCTTTTCTCACCAGAAACTTCCCCGAACAAGCTGACTCGTCCCTAGCGCAAGAATACCGTCTCTCTACTCCATTAAAATCAGAGTTATCGTTAGCTATGTCAGCACTCCTAGCTACTGGAGGTATACTAGTAACTCCAAAAACCGAATGCCCCGATTCTTTCGCTACAAGAGTTCCAAAGAAAACATTCACAAGTGTCATAGAAGAGCACATTACACTAATCTCAGCTCAAAACCACAAAATTGAAATACGAGAATCTCTCCTAAGGATTCAAGAAACTCATAACAAGGAACAAAACCATAACATTTGAAGAAAGACAAAAAACAAATCACCTTTAGGAACAGTGGTCGCATCATTGGGACAAATCTTTTGGTCTTCGGATGTCAAGAATGAGAAATCGAAAGTGAAATCATTCCATAAAGAATCTTCAGGATCAGATTCAGAAGCAACGAAAGAAGATGATAACGAAGTAGTAAAAGAAGATAGACTACGATCACATTGCTTCATGTTTCTTCTCTATAGATTCGAAAATCTGTGGATAAAAACGAACAAGGGAATGGATTTTGCAGAGAAGACGAGCTTCAACCTTCTCCTTCACCTTTCACTCTGCTATCTATGTGATTAGTGATTACAGTAAAACCTCTATAAATTAATACTCTATAAATTAATAACCTCTCTAAATTAATAAATTTTTCCGGTCCCGAATTGGGACCAGTGTAAAATATGACATAAATCGATAAATTAATAAGATAATAATTTTTTTGAAAATCCCATATAAACATATGGTCCTATCTATATCATAAATTAATAATTGTATAAACTTATCAATATATATATATATATGTATATCTAACTTAATATATATATATATACATATTTAACTTTATATATATATATATATATATGATATAAATTTATATATGTCATATATGAATTACTATGATATATATTTAAAATATTAAATGAAATATGACTTTATGTGTTGTTTTTAAACTTAATAATTGCTTCTCTACTTGTAATTGGTTTTTAAAAGATATTGCTTATAAAAAAAAAATTTATTTTTAGATATAAATATTTTAAGAAATTACCAAATTAGTAAAATCTCTCTATAAATTAATAATTATTAATTTATCGATAAATTAATACCTCTCTAAATTAATAAAATTTCATGGTCCCAACATTATTAATTTATAGAGGTTTTACTGTACCAATGTTTTGTCCAAAAAAAAAATAAAAAAGTGGTTACCAATGTTTTTTAAACCGATACGGACGGTTTAGGTAAACCGGACTACCTTCCGGGTCAACCGTAGATTAATTGATTAAAATTTATTTAATGTACTTTATATTAGTTTTATATTTATAAAACTAAAAATAATCATATTATATTTAATATAAAATATAATAATAATTATAAAGTGATTAAAAATTTTAAATCTAACTAAAACTGAACAAAAAATACTAAGATAATAGTCGATCACTAATGACGAGAATAAACTAATAAAACATCTTGAGGTCAAGACAACCAACTTATATTAAAAATATAAAACATCAAGAATTGAATAATTTAGTCAATATATTATATATATAACTAAAATAATTAAAATACATTAAGACTTTATATTTTACTTTTAAAATCAAATGGATTCTCGTGAACCATTATACGGCCGGTTCAACTGGACCGTCAAATCGTGAGTTAAAATAATTTTTTTTTGAACTTTTCCGATTTTGAAATTATCGGATATTATCACTAAACTTAGATCGAAGAAGTGTCCGAGGTTTTTTTTGTTGTTAGCGTCAATTTTTAAGGTGATGCTAAATAATTGATGTTAAATACTTGTTTTCTAGTAGTGTCCGAATTATTTTTCTAACCAACTAACCAAGTCTATTGGAACAATTATTCTGCAGCATAAGGATAAGCAAGGGACACATGTATTTATGCTTTGCTGATAACTTACTTTCTCTCAAGAAAATGGATTCAATAATAAGACTAACCCGACAACATTTTACTGTAAATTATTAAAAGATTTTGTACTCAAAACTCAAAACTAGAAGTCTTCAAAAAAAAAAAAACTTTTTAAAGTCTTCAGAAAAAATGTGTCTTGAGAGACCAAAAATTTCATATTTACATACTATTATTGTAAAGCACATTTTGAGGAGACCAAAAATTCAAAAAATAAATAAAATTAATTAACTTAAATGGAGATCAAACACATTACACATAGAAACGATATATAAAACAAAAACATATTACAAACTGAAAACAACGACCATGAAATGACATTTATAAAAGCGAATAAAGATAAATCTATAAACAATAGTGAATTATATTTTCAACCACTATATATAAAATGACATTTCCTATTTACAAGTAGAGAACATCGGACTTCTCTTAGTTTTATTCTTTTAAAGTGAACTATCATATAATTATAATTTACTTTTTCCCAAGTTTCAAGTCGTTATGCATGTATTTTACATGAGACGGCATGCATTAACGTTATCGTCATTGAACATATTACTAACCCTATCGTCTCCACGAGAACCTATGGGGATATTACCATGTTGTTCCGTACCATTGTAGCCATGCCTATAATAGTTATAGCTCTCTTTAAACTCTTTAGAAGGATCTACGAAATAGTTTTGAGTAGATGTGAAGTAAAGTGGAGGCTCAGGGTATGGCCAAAACTCAGCTCTCTTCCCGGCTCGTCTCACGGTTTTGAGCACTTTGTTTCTGTCAACGTAACCCACCACTCTCACTCTTCCCAACTCTCTATCCACCTCCACTGAATCAACTCCTGTAATTTTAATCAAATTCATTACATCTAATCTTGTCTTTAAATTTTAAGCAAAGCAATTAGTTGTTACCTCGGAGTTTGGAGATTGCGTTCCTAACGATCTTGACGCAACCGGTGCAACACATTCTGACCTTGAGCTCAACCGTCTAGTAGTCCACGTTCCGCGGATGTCAAACTCAAAAACTTTAGTTTTCTTATGAGAAACTTTGGATATATACATGAAAAATAGTATCGTATATACCATGTATCGAAATGATCATTACTAAATTATGGACACATGAAAGCTAGATGATTGTGTAGGAATTGACATTTAAATCGAGACAAACCATGGTACATAGTGTACATTTTTATAAACCATTTGTTTCAACATATATCTGCTTTCCAAATCGTAGACGCCTAGATCATTGTATAGTCCATCAACGATTCGTTTATATAAAAAAAACGTTTGTTTTGCTAATCTTTTTATACCTTCAATTAAAGATGTTTTTTATAAAAAAAAAATGCATCTATGTAACCACAATTATGTGACCAATTATATAGGGATGAAGATCTAAGCCATATTATAACCATACCCAAAAATATTTATAAAGCCATTCTACAATTAGTACTCAAATAGTACAATCCAAGCCAGAATCTAACATGGTAGTCAAATAGACCGGTACTCACTCGCTTTTTCATAAGTTTATTTTTATTATTTATATATATATATAAGTTAAAATATTATGTAAGATACCTTATGATAATAAAAAAAAAAAAAATAATCTTAATTATATATGAACTACATTTATTTGTGTATGTATCGAATTGATTTGAAAAACAAACCAAACCAAAACAAAGTTGAATATATTTTGGCTGGTAACAATCATATATAATCAAAACCAAATTAAAGGATTCAAACGAAACCGAACCGAAAACCAAAATGGTCATGCCTATGATTTTAGTTGTGGTGGCGGAATGGGCATGTATGTCTAATGAAAGAAAAAATAACCTGCAAAGAGAGTGGACGTTTCCTAGACATCCTGAAGTAGCTTATATGTGTAGTGGTTCTTGGATTAGACACATAACGACCGCGTCGAAAGGAGAAAATCCTTGTAATGATAGAGACAATGGACCCGAGACTTTTCACAATCAAGGAAGACATCTACGACTACGATCGGAGATTTTGGAAAGATTGGATACAATATATACATAATGGGAATATATAGAGAAAGATAGATGAAAACTTTGGAGATAGGAGAAGTTGAGACACATTGCGACATGAGTAAACAAGAGACTAACTTAATTACGGAAAGGAATATGTAGAAATTGAGATAATGATGATATGTAAGCTAAGTTAGCAGCTTTTTGGTCTTAAATCTCGTGATCTCTTAGACACACGTCGAGGCTCTTGCATACTTGTGTTTTATTTATTTTATGTATAAGATTAATGTTGTTTTAGTTAGAAGCAGGGTTTGGCCTTATGACGAGGAAAAGTATATGTACACGTTCTGACGTTCATAAGAAATTATTGAAACAAACAAAGAAAATGAGAAATTGCTTCTTTTTATATATGCATGCATGTCCGAATGAAATTTTTAAGTCTTACTGCAGTTAAATTTATATAAGTCTTACAGTAATTAAATTTATGAATTTTTCATAATATTATTTAAAATGTGCACAACATGAAATATTACCTTCTTTTTTTGGTCATCTGATTAAGATTAAAATTATTATGGTGAGATGCTTTGAGAATTACAATATAAGCCGGTGGAAGACAGAATCTCCACGGAATCAAAGCTCTATACAAGGAAAGCAAATAACTATACTAAGAGGCAAAGGATGAAATTAATGATAGGAGAGTACACACCAGAAAGGAAATGGACTTAAGATAATTAAACCTGACAAAAAAAAAAGAGAAGCTAATTTCATTTTGAAGATTTTTTCTAAATGACCGATACCAACGATCTCGTTGACTTGGCTCCACCTTTCTCTTTTTTATTTATTTATTTTATAGCCACAAATAATTTTATACTTTTGAGTATATTTATTATGAAGATTGTTGGCAAAGAAAACTTATTTATTTTCTATGAAAGTAAGACAAATCACAAATTTTTGAACCTCAAAGAGACGATTTGTTTATGTTTTAAGTCATGAAATATGGTGTTTTGTTTATGGTTTCTTGTGGTGTCATGTTTCTTATTCTAAGCCATGTTGAAGGTAATTTTTTTCTTCTTATTTTGTGTTATCAATTGTTTGTATATGTATTTTCACAGTCTAACTTTTTCGTGGATGATAACACAATAGAGGTTGAAGCCATGAAAAAGTTTGGGTGCAACACAACACACCCTTTTCCTGGAAAATGTGGAAATAATGGAAAGAGTTCTTGCGTAAGTGACATGAAAAAGCTTCCTAGTGCGCCAAAAAATCGTGATATACGTTGCGAATGTTCTGACCGTCCAAGTTTAGCTCGGGGTATGCCTGGCGAGCGTGTATGTAGATGTCAATATGACTGTTAATTTTTATAATATTTCCAAAACTAAAATCTCTTTACTAATTACTAAGAGAGGAGCTATGAAGAATTTTTTTGAAAAAAGCATGTCGTGCTTTTTGAAAAAAAAATATGTTTTTACCAAGTAGATTACTTTGATTCTAGAATAAATATAATACTATTTTTAATTTAAATTATTATTGTATAATTAACCACTTATATGTAAAAAAACACTCACATTTTACAAAAGCATGTAAAAATCCTTAACTTTTTTTGTTGAACTCTCACTCCGATCTTGGCGTTGAACCTTGCTTTAATGTTATCCCAAAGTTCTTTGTAAAATCTCGTGATCTCTTAGACACACGTCGAGGCTCTTGCACACTTGTGTTTTATTTATTTTATGTATAAGATTAATGTTGTTTTAGTTAGAAGCAGGGTTTGGCCTTATGACGAGGAAAAGCATATGTACACGTTCTGACGTTCATAAGAAATTATTGAAACAACTATGTATATGCTTCATGTCCGATCCGAAGAATTCTTATATTCTTCTTCTTGTCCGAAAAACGCAGAAAAAAAAAAAAAACTCTTACAATATTCCCTTATTCAACAAGTACTTAAAAGTTGTGATCAACGAAAAGGAAAGAAACAGTGTGGTATATATATGTATGTACACGTTAGAATAATCATATCTTTTTATAATCGTTTGTTATATTATTCATTAATATCTTGATCTAATCATGTAACAAATGATGATTAATCTAACAGATATATCTATCTGTAATATATGCGATTATGATAAATGACTGCTCGAACAACTTTATGATATGCAGCTTTTTTCACAACATTCAGATCTCTTACAATACCAACGATGGAAAGTTTTACTCCTGACACTTGGGAACGTAACATAAAGTCGTGGGTTCGAATCCACCAACAGTTTAATTTTTAAACACAAAATTTTTTTTAGACCACATATAATAAAATGAGGTATTTTATTCTAACTGAACAGTTCCGATATTAAACGTCTAAATAAAAAATAGATGGTTTTCTTTTAGGATTTTCTCTAATTAAATTTGATTGCTTCAATTATATAATCATTTGATTGTTAGAATATTCACAAAATATGTTATATATTTTGGCACACTAGAAATCTTTTTCAAATCCCTTTTCCTTACACATCCACGATTTCCATTTGGAACATCTCTATTAATTCATTATTTTTAACCTGCATTTTTTATATAGATCGAAATCATGAAATTACAGAGTTTCCTTTTCGTTTGGGAGACTGTGGATCGACAACTTGATTTAATTTTATCAAGAAAACTCACCTTATAGGTTTTTAGTAATTATATTGATGACATGGTTAATTAATTAATTTTTATATCCAAGTTTAGTAAAATAAATATAGAAAATTTATTTTTATATAAGAGAAATTTTCTAAAATAAAGACCGATCCCACCGCTCACGCTCACGTAGACTTGGCTCCACCTTTATCTTTTATGTTTTTACTTTGCCTAATTAATAGCAAAATATATTTTTATTGTCTGTTAGTATCTTTATAAATAGTCGGAGTTGTTGACAAAAAAAAACTAATATATTTCAAACTATAGGTTTTTGTAGCTAAGAGAGACGATTTTGTTTTTTATCATTTTATAAGTCATGAAATGTGGTGTTTTCTTTATGGTTTCTTGTGTTCTCACACTCCTTGTTTTAAGCCCTGTTAGAGGTAATTTTTGCTTCTTTTTTTGTATTATCAATTGTTTATCTAAATATTTTACATGTTATCAATATTTTTGTTTATATAATACAACAGAAGTGGAATCCAAGCAAAAACGGATGTGCGAATTCAAAAAACCTTTTCCTGGAAAGTGTGGAGACACTGGAAAATTCACATGCTTCATGAAAATTATGGATTTGCCTAACAAGCCAAAAAATATTCCCATACGAAATTTCTATTGTTCTGATATTCCAGGCTCTCCTGACCGTATGTGTAAATATTTTTATGAATGCTGAGTTTTTCTCTATCTGTCTATAACGAAAATCACTTTACCAATAATAAGACGGAAGCTTTCCTGAGAGTTTGGCATCTTCCTTATCGAGAAAGGTCATGTTAGTTTATTGTTTCTTCAAATTATACTACTTTTGATTTTCAAATAAATATAATTCTTGGTTAATATCCAGACTATAATCCTTTTATATATAAAAATGTTTTTAGCTCTTTGGTGGTGACATCAAAAAAAGTAGTACCATACAAAGTGGATGATAGATTGAGCTGTAACTATAGAATTTAAGTTATAATGTACATCTTCTATTGTAGCTTTGTTGGATGTTGTAATTTTATATATATATATATATATATATATATCTAAGTTTTAGCTATGCATATTTTAAAATAAAAATATGATTGATAGTTATAAATAAGTTAAAACATACACTACCAGCAATAATAATAAGAGTTCTTTGAGAAAATACCCTAAACTAAGATTATAATTCAGCCATAAATTTTAAACCATCATTGAAGATGATCTCAAACTATCGCCAAACGAAAGCTAACTCAAAGAGGTATCTTGTCTCCAAATATGAGCTAAATCCGAATATGGAAAGGTTTCCAACAAATGCCAAACTTCTGAATTTTATGTATGAGAAACACGTTTTCATCCTTAAATGACTGAATTTTTCCAACAAGTTCAATCTTTCTCCAAATTATTTTTTAATATGAA